ATTACAAAACAAAAATTAAGTTTTCATATATTTACAGTAGGAAATTTACAAAATATCTTCATGGAACATGATCTTTACTTAATACCCTAATGATTTTGGGGTATTTTTGAGCCAGTCTGCAGATTTTGGGTATATTTGGCAGAAAATCATGTTGTTTATTTTGGGCACAGACAGATTTTTTTTTTAGCTTCAGACTATCAAAGTTAAATTGCTATCAAAGTAATAATTTTTAGCACATCCCTTGGCAGTGGATGAAAAGCAACAGTTCCTTTAGGAAACAACAGTGACATATGTAGTAGACAGAACTGACAGTTCCTCACTCGGTTGTTTAGTGAATGATTATCATTTACAAAGTCTGCAAGTGTATGGTTCCTAGTGTTTGAAAATCTGCTCAGATTTTAAAAGTCATGTTCATATTAAAAAGAAGTGTATCCTACCTGTAACTTACCGTTGTTTAATTTACACATTGATCTAGATCACTCTGACTGTGATTTCAAATTAAAAACACAATCAATTCAGTTGATTGTGAGAAGCATTTGCCTTGATTTAACCTCGAACACGTTGTGTGATTTCACAAATGGCAGATAAAAATGCTCTTCTATGTCACAGTTCATTCCAGCCCATGTAAGAACAGTATCCAATCAATATTTACTGTGTTATGGCCACATTTTCCTGAAATTTACACTGTGTTTGGTAGAGCTTTCCGACAGCGTGACATGATCAACTGCGAGCATTGGACTGTATGCAAAATAGCAGCGATGCAACACAGCATCAATTACCAATTGATTACCAATGGAAATAAAGACGCCATCCGCCGCCTCTTACAGTTGCCACTAAGAAGAAATGCTATTAGCAACCAACAGTCAGTTGAAAGACGCTGTGACCTCCAGCGATTTAATCAATGTCATTGTGAATGCCCCTTTAGGATGTTGAGGTACCGTTGTGTTGTTTTCAACAAAGAAGAGGCGTTCAGGTCCAATGACAATTTGTTGGTGATGGCGAACACCCATTAACCTAAGGCTGCTGTTATCTCCACCGCCACATTGTTGATGCGCTGCGAGTAATGAACTGCTCTGGACCATCTGAAGTAAACAATCATCTCTTTTTTTACTATAGCATTAATAGAGAGGTTGTTGTTCCAGCACCAGGTTGCAAGCTGTCTCACCTCTTCCCTAGGCTGTCTAACCATTAGTGATGCTAATGAGCCCCTCAATAGAGGCGTTGAATGCAGATTTAATGATTGCTCTGATATTTGGTGATACACTCGTGGTATTACGAACGACTGTGGATTGTTACTGCCTCAAGGCTGTTGCTCCTGATGTCTAGGAAGACAGAGTTATTTGCTTAGTCTAACTGCAGCAAGTTTGTTAGGGTCCGGGGGAAGACTGTGATCAATGCCAAGATGAAGTAAACATCAGCCGTTTGACATATGAGATTTAGTTGTCTAGGTAACAAAGTGCAATAAGGATGACAAATGCAATGCCATCATCCATGGAGCAGTTGTGCTTGCAGGTGTGTGCTTAGAGGTCCGTTGTGGAAAGGTGGTCTTAATGTTTGTGACGCCCACATTGCCCAGTCTCTCAAAACACTAGAATCACACAATGACTGGAGTAAATGCAGTGGGGCGAAAGTCACCGAAGTCATTTTGGCACTCAGATGATGGAGGTTGATTTGAAACATGACAGCCTGGCCAAGGTGGATTTCAAGATCTCTGTAATATCTGCAGAATATTACCCATCTTTCAAATATAGCTTAATATTAGTAGAGGAATAACCTGGTTAAAAGTTTCAGCAGCGAATGGGTGCTTTAGTTGTTAAAACGTCCTCTGAGGCACACGGAGATGATTTAAATATCCATTATTGACCTGTCCTATTCAGCTACTACATACTCATAAATCACAGACATGTCCCATAGGTCAGCTGTGTACTCAATATGGATATGAAATTTTGAAAAGAACTAACAGTGTCTGATTGTCTTTCCTGCTGTGTTTGAGTGATGTGTGTTGAATTTAAAAGCATTGTTCATCCAAAAAAGTGAATTCTGTCATGATTTATTCAACCTTACGTTTTTTTTCCCCTTTTTTTGTCTTGAATTATTATTTTTTCAATGGGGTACAGTGTTGTTTTTGACCCCAATGACTTTCATAGTTTGGAACAATTTTATTCAACCTCATGTCTTTTCAGATCTCACTTTTTTTCCTCCTTTTTGGCTTTATTTTTTTTTTTTCCCAATGGGGTACAGTGTTGTTTTGGACCCCATTGAGTTTCATTGTTTGGAAACATGAAACTTTTTAATTGTATTTATTGGATGAACTAAGGTTGATTGTTTGGAGTTTACACACACACACACATGCAAAAAGAAAATGTATTTCATTTATTATAAAAAGTATTAATATTATAAAAGAAAATTAATACATTAATAATATCATAGTATTCGTTCTCTATAGGAAAAACAGTAAGGGTTAAATTGACATATTCTGTACAGGGACATATTGTAAAGGTCAATATCACTCATGCCTCAATCACACACACACACACACACACACACACAGAGTTGGGTCACCTCCATAGTCACAGCAGGGTCATCAATAACTGTCACTTCAGTAATTGGCCGTCACCATACTCTTTGTAGAGGAGATGAAGTGCTTGTTCGATACGATTACATTCCATTTACTCGTCAATCTCAGCAGCAAAAAGATTTCATAGTGCACACAGAACCTCACCACACAAGACCTAAGCATAGCACCATTATTTTTATGCATCAGTTCTGAACTATAAGACATTTTGAAGGATTATATGTTCCGTTATTTAAGCTCGCTGATGTGCTCCAATTCTTTATTCCACTGCCACCCCTCCTCAAGCTCACACACACCCTAAATGTGCCATCATTTCATGGTGGCTTGAGGGGATGAAAATGAAAACACCATTGACATTATGCTGAACCAATCCTCCCACTTCCACGCATAAGTTCATTAGTCCATACCAGACACAGATGGAAAATGGCTACTGAAAGAAAGGTGGATTGTTCAAATGACAGGCATTAGATTAATGGCCTGTACGTTATATGTTCTGGAATTCTGAACACACGCGATGCATATGGTGCTGCAAGGTGCCCTTCATATGTGGCATTGCAGTGATTACAGAACTGCAATTTCGGGTTATGGCGGTGCTTGCAGTGTATTTCTGTAAATCCATCTAGCTCTATTCTTGTCATTTCTCTTTGCTATTGCCAAGACTTTTTTATTTGCTTTTATCATGCTATCATACTCAAACAGTTGTGACGAACATGTGATGCCAGCAATAATGCAATATCTCTCTTCCTCAGATAACAGTGTTTCGGATGGGATCAGAGGGACACCAGGACATTGATCTGGCCATTCTAACAGCACTTCTGAAAGGTAATATTTGTACATTTGTGGATACTCATATCATATGTATCTATAAACTTGTTGGTTTAATTCACGGTCTTCAGCAGGGGGTCTGCAGTGGGGAGATTTTTGTGTGTGGTGGGGGGGGGTAAATACAGTATCATTTTCGACCAAAGCTTAAATTCATGAAGTTTAAATACATTTTAAACTTTTAATTTGTCTCCCCCGTTACTTCTTTTGTAAAACCATATTAAAAAGATGATGTCAGTTTAATGTTGTACATCTTTGTTTTTTTGTGTTTTTATCATTTTAATTATGATTATTTTAACATAACCCAATTTTAATATAAACCAGAAGTGATCAGTGGCCTGTAAATGTTTGAAGACCCCTGGTTGTAAAATAATGATGAGGGCTATCTCAAACATCTTATGTGAGTTTCCAAGTGATTCACACAAGTGTCCTCCAGGTTCTGTCAGTCAAAACATTCATAAAACTATAAGTACTATTCCCTGTCTTACTTATAATGTTATATCTTTCATAAATCGATTGCATCCGAAGATATTTCTGATCACACACTAACTTCAATTTTACTGCCCACCAACTTTTTAGTGCCTGCAATTGTTAGGTTAACATTACATTTAACACTGAAAGGAGTGAGTAAAGTGCAAGCTCTACTGGCTGTGCTTCTAAAGACCCACTTTTAAATCCAATACAAAAGATGGGATTCCAGTGAAGCCTTTTCTTCAAGAGCTCCATGAGCTGCTCTGAAAGCCAGTAGCATGGCTTTTGCATAATTCATAGTACTGTGCAGCGCATCTAAAGAATGATTTACTCGTGCAGTTCCTAGCTCTCTTCTTTTTCCTTAATGAATGTATAAGGGATGTATATCAGTTGATATATAGTCAAAAAACAGATATTTGTATTGTATTTTTGATTCATTTAGGCCATATTTATATCACTAATGCTTGCATGTACTTTAAAATGCATGCTTGTTGCTATCTTAAATGTCTTTATAGCAAACTAAGTGAATCATTTGATTGCTGATTTAGAGAGTATATGATATGCTAATGACTGGAAACATGGAATATTATATCACGCTTTTATCAGTAGCTCAGTCTTATCCATGCGAAAAGGGCTTTTGCATTTTTTCATTGAACACACTTGTAATATCTGACAAATACAGAAAGTGTAAGGATTTATTATGATGTAGTGTGAAATTAAAGCGAGAACATAAAGCTAACCTCTGCTACAGTTCAAAGCAACAGAAAACAGCAATTAAAGCTCATCCTCAGAGACTTAATTATACATAATTATGTGACCAATCTTTGCTGATACAGTGCCTTCCTGTTGCTGAGGACTTGTTTCATCTGGCATCAATATAGTTACTAAATACATCCTGAACTTCAAAAGCACAAGGTGCTCCACATGGCCATTTCCGAGTATTACAGACCTCCATGTCCGTATTTTAGGTTTAACAGAGTCGGGCAGGATATTTTCGAGCACTTAACTGAGATTATGCAAATATGGTTTAATACATGGCGACACCTAGACAAGCCACGGAGGTGTCTATTTAATAGACTGTGTCTGGAAAGATTACCCTCATAAAAGTAAATGTAGAAGCACCAGGCCAGAGTAAGTAAAGACAAATGTCCTGCTGCTCAGGGGGAAGGTTTATTAGCTTGAAGCAGGAGTGGAGCAAAGAGCCAGAGACCCTGGAGAGTGCTTTCCTCTGTGATTTATCTTTAGAATCAGCTTTTTAAACAGGCATAACGCTATGCATTGCAATGATGCGAGAGCTGGGGATTCCTTAGGATTCTCTGCTGTGAGAGGTGCTTGTAAATCAATGGGAGTTAAGGGGGTTCAAGCATGCAAATGATTTTGAAGACATCAGACTGTAAGATTAGTAATGTTTAATAGGCATTTAGTTACACACCACATCCATCATTGTATATGCTCTCGTTAACATATTCCCCAGGGCTTTTTAAGATTGTTTTTGGTTAAAGCAAATGAACTAACCTTAATTATGTGCCCTTTTGCTTGTCTGTCCAGGGGCCAATGCATCAGCTCCAGATCAACTGAGCCTGGCTTTGGCCTGGAACAGAGTTGACATCGCTCGAAGCCAGATCTTCATTTATGGACAGCAGTGGCCTGTAGGCAATATCCACTCACTCCAACTCTGTAATTCATTTAGATATAGATACAGAGATGTTGATTACAAAGGGGACTAGAAGCACTTCTGTGTAACTCTGACTCTAATTATACACAGTAGATGCTAATGATGGTGGGCTGCATTTCAACCAGATTAAAATTCATGAAATTGATTCATTGCTGTGCACCTGTATGTCTGTTTTATTGTGTGCCGGTGGTGTGGGTTCTGGACCTGTAAGCTTTGTTTACGTGTGGTTAGGTGGGCTCTCTAGAGCAGTCTATGCTGGACGCACTGGTGCTGGACAGAGTGGACTTTGTGAAGCTGTTGATTGAGAATGGAGTGAGCATACACCGCTTCCTGACACTGTCCAGACTTGAAGAGCTCTATAATACGGTAATGTAGCTATGTCAGATTTGAATGAGGTTTTACATCTTAGGTTTTTCAGTGTGGTCTCAGACTTTTGGATCTCACTGTACTGTCTGTTTCCCCATATATACACTACCATTCAAAAGCAAAAACAAAACAAAAAATGTATTCATCAAAGTAAATAAAATAAATAAATAAAATCACAGTTTCCACAAAAATATACAGCACTACTGTTTTCAACATTGATAATAATAAGGACTATTTTTTAACACCAAAATAGCATATTAAAATGATTTCTTTCATCATATGGGACTGCAGACTACAGTAATGCGACTTTGCAATCACAGGAATAAATAACATTTTAAAAAATGGATTGAAATAGAAAACAGTTATTTTAAATTGTGATAATATTTCATAATATTGCTGTATTTTTGATCAAATAAATGAGTATAATACCCAACTTTCAAAAACATTTTTAAAATCGTACCAAATTTTGAATGGTATATGTATGTATTTATAAATATATATAATGACCTATAGTGAAAAAATATGCATATGCACTGAAAAAAATGTACCTGTGATAAAGTGGTTTAAGACCAAAAATATAGCGTTTAACATTTAATTACATGGATAGTATTTTTAAAGGTGATAGCAGGTAGATTTAGCTTCTTAAAGGGGCAGTTCACCCAGAAGTGAAATTTGTGGTATCATTTACACACCCTTTTGGTTGAACAGTCCCTTTTAGGTAACAACAACACATGTTCTTATTTGTTTTTCCAAGTACTATTTGTGGTTAGATGTAACTTTTTAAAGGTTATATTTGTTTCTGTTTGCCTTAAATAGAGGCATGGTCCATCCAACACCTTATACCACCTTGTCAGAGATGTGAAAAAGGTAAGAACTCACTGTGCATGCAGCTGAGTGTGTGTGTGTGTGTGTGTATCTGTATGCATGTGTGTGAGTGGATGTCAGACTGTGAGTGTAAGTGGTAGATTAGTCTTAGATTTCTGTTGCACATTTAGCAAAGGTGTCTTTCTTGCTGCTTAGCCTGACAGAGAGATTTGGCCAATTAGTTGCTTTTTTCTGTCTGTGTCCTCTCTTGCTCGTTTCAGACAATAAAATAGTCAGAACAATGGGTTTATTGCTTCTTAGGGTGCTCGTGTTTAGTTAGTTTTTCTTAATTACTATTCCTAAGTGCATTTTCAAGGCATAATGGGGCACACGGTTGCCTTCTTTTTCCACTCTGGTGATTTTCGCAGTCTTTATGTAGTGATATTTGTGCATGAACTGCAATTTCGACTTGTAAAAGACTCAGTGCAGGTACGCTGTGAGGTTTTTGGTCTAGTCTTCTCTTTGTCCAAAAAATACTTTTTTTTGTACCTTGAAGGCGCAAACCTTCTCTGTCTCCCTAGAGATTAACATGTTAAACTGGGTGTCGCATCAACTGATTCTAGCACAGCATTTCTTGCACAATTGAAATGCAGCTTCACCTGTGATTCTGATCAGCCAGTTGAAGCATTTTGTGGCATTTGCTGAGATTGAAGTAATTAGCCCAGCTTAGAAGATCTGTGGTCGCTCTGCGTTGGTAATTACAGAATCAGAGCAGAGTCTACAGTAGTTATCATAGTCTGAAGGCAGGATGTGGGATGTAATTTTGCTAAAATGGATTTGGCTCGTAGATCTAATGCAAGGAGGAATCTTAGGTCTTCATGTTCGCTTCATGTTGTTAAGTCTTACAATCAAAATTTCAACACCCTGATAAGGATTCTCTAATTAGAAAAGCTCACTAATATCGGCATAAACGTAAAGATGAGTCAAATCATTAAATTAGCAACTGAGGCATCGCTCCTTATCACGTCCCCCCGCTCTTTCTTTGTCCTGCCCATTATTGGACTCCATTCTTCTCCTTTCTCTCTCCTACGCTCTAACTCTCTGTTGTTTTTGTTTTTGTAGAGAGGCTCTTTTTTTTTTTACGATCAGTTCAATATGGCACCAAACCCTGATCTAGACTTGCTTGGTCTCAGTGGGATGTCTGTCCCTTTAATATGATTCTGTCTCACTGACCTTGTGTGTTCTTTCCAAGCAAGAATATCCAGGGTTCAGTTGGATCTACCTCAAGGTGAATCAGAAAATCTTCTTCAATTATCTTGATTCCTTCTAGCAATATGTTGGTGTGTTTGTGGAGTGAGAACGTATGGGTGTGTATGTAGTTGAGCGCGTGGGTCGTTTCTGACCTTACTGTTTGTTTGTATTTTCATAGCCAGAACTGTTGGCACAGGTACAGTGTTGCCATGAGTAACCTTCTTGTCTTCAGGGTAACCTGCCCCCTGACTACCGCATCAGTCTGATTGACATCGGATTGGTAATTGAATACCTCATGGGCGGAGCCTATCGCTGCAATTACACCAGGAAGAGATTTCGGACCCTCTATCACAACCTTTTTGGACCCAAAAGAGTATGTTATTAAACAAAATGGCATGTAGCTCTAAAAGGGCATCATACTGAGATTTCAAGAATGAAGTTGTAACATTACAAGAAAAAAGACGTCATGTTAGCACCATCCACTACAGGAATGACTGAGACACTTTTACAACATTGGTTGAAAGGTTGAAAATCAGTTTCAGAAGTTTTATTTTGTTCTGCTTTGCTTTACTTTGTTTTGTTTTGAAAAAACAAAAATTATTTAGCAAGGATAGATTAAAAGTAACAGTAAATACTTACATATCAAAAATATTCTTTCATAAAAATGTAAAGCAGGAAAAAAAATTAAATAGCACAGCTGTTTTCAACTGTGACGATAATAACAAATTTTTCTTAAGCACCAAATCAGCATAGAATGACTAGAATAGTCATGTTACTAGAATATTAGTCGTAACATTTTAAGAATGATTTTGAAAGGTTTGGAGAATAAAGTAGTCATAAAATTAAGAGATTAAATGCATAGTATACCATGAATAAAACGGAAATAATTTAAGTAAAAAAAAAACACACCATTTTTTTTTTTTTACTTGTTACTTATTTTTCCAATATTGTGTCTTTATTCTCAAAACTTTTTTTGATTTTATTCTCGTAAAAGGCCTATTCATAGATTTTCAAAATATTCTGAATATTATGAAAATCTTGTTTTTTTTAATTATTATTTTAATATGCCATTAAAACATTTTTGTAGTTGGGTGATGACCCATAGAAATATACATTCACTTTTAAATGCAATAAAAATGTTATACTTGCTTTTTTATACTTGCAGATTATTTCCTCAGTTTCCCATACATTTTTCCAAAGGAAAATTTGTAATGTGTTTTTTTTTTTATCAGCATGACCCACCTGGGAATAAAATATTTCACATCAGTTGCCACATAGAGATGGCATATACAGTAACAGACTAGATACTCCGTGTAGAGCAAATTTCTATATAGCGGCACTTCAGCAGTGCAGAGTAAACAGGAGTCAAGACAAATTCTCAAGCCACTGACACCTGGATGATATCCAATTTTCTCACATTTTAAACACCTCTATAGGCTCAAGCATCTACTGTAAGTCACAAATCTCGACCCTCTGTCGCAGAACGGATTTCAGGTGTGAGGACATTAAACATTGCTGCTCCATCACGCCAATGTCACAGGAGCATTTTATCTATACTAGTACAGTAGATTGCTAGTACACGATGTGTGTCTGAGAGTGTGTATTCATGAATCTATTTGTGCACTTCAATATAGTGAGTACATTTTATCTCACATGCACATTCGCACATACATAGTTCTACATATGCCGCCATATAGGCTTGAAATAGATCAGACATCTGCGGTGCCATCAGAGAGGTGCTCTAAATTCATCATGGCATCGCATGAAGAATCCTATCTACTCATTAAACATGCCATGTTTTTACATGTGCACCAGAAGGATGGTGAAACGATTTGGAAAATGCATAAATCAAATCTAACGTGTCTTGTTATTTTTGTCCTGTATGTTTTTATTTTTGTGTGTGTTGTAGCCAAAAGCCCTGAAGCTGCTTGGAATGGAGGTGAGATTTATTTCTTAATTTCATGTATCCCACTGCTTTCCAATAAAATCCCCACTGAGTTTCATTGAAATGCTTTCTTTAAGCTCTCCTTTGATTTAGAAGTTTAGATTCAAATAATGAAGGTTCACAATGAAAAAAATGCTCCTTGTATTGCATGTTCAGAGGTTTTCACAAAAACAATTTAAATACTGTAACTACCTACAATTATCTTACATTTGTGTTTAATGGTCCTCTTACTATTAATAACCAGATTAATGATATGAATTATAGGTCATTTATTGTCCTATTTTGCTATTTTAATATTAATATATTTTTATAATAATAAGTATATATAATATTTAATAACTAGATACAGTAGATAGGCAGATAGATTATTGCAATAATTATAATTTTAATAAATAAATAATAATGTTGTTGCTGTAACATTTAATCAATAAATACTGCTGAAAAGAGCAAACCAGGGTGATTAATTACCTATAATTTACATTTTCAGTGGTGGTTATTATTATTTTTATAAGGAAAAAAAAATACTTAAAAAATCTCTATCATACAGGATGACATGCCCATTAGGCGAGGACGTCAGAAGACCACAAGGAAGCGAGAGGAGGAAGTAGACATTGACCTGGATGACCCAGAAATCAATCACTTCCCTTTCCCTTTCCATGAGCTGATGGTTTGGGCAGTGCTGATGAAGCGGCAGAAGATGGCCCTGTTTTTCTGGCAGCATGGCGAGGAGGCCATGGCTAAAGCGCTGGTGGCCTGTAAGCTTTGTAAAGCAATGGCCCACGAAGCGTCAGAGAACGACATGGTAGATGACATTTCACAGGAGCTCAATCAAAACTCAAGGTATGAATGTAAAGATGTGTTATGATGACCTAGTTACCTCAAGGATGAGGATTTCACCTGCACGTCCTGTTCCCATTGTTGTTGAGTATACAACTCTTGGGTCTGGAAGTTTGGGGAGACCATCTGTTATGCGCCAAACTGGCATCCCATCAAAGGCACAGTGACTGACCACAAAGACTTCTCTAAAATTCATAAAAGCCTAATGTGAATGTTCTTTTAGTAATGGTGTTTGAGACTAGCTTATCCTGCTTCTACACCTAAAACAAGCTGTTGTTTTTTTTTGTGTGTGTGTGTGTGTGTGTAGAGGTAATCTTGTGTGTTTATATGCATATAAATGTGTCTGGCACAGAAATTCCATCTTTTTTTTTCTTCTTTTTTTTTTATCCATAAGGGAGTTTGGTCAGCTGGCTGTTGAGCTGCTCGATCAGTCGTATAAGCAGGATGAACAGATGGCCATGAAGCTGTTAACCTACGAGCTGAAGAACTGGAGTAATGCCACCTGTCTGCAGCTGGCAGTGGCAGCCAAGCACAGGGACTTCATCGCCCACACCTGTAGCCAGATGCTTCTCACCGACATGTGGATGGGACGTCTGCGTATGCGCAAGAACTCTGGCCTAAAGGTCAGATTCGGGAGAAAGATGGCTGAGACCGTAGTCTCATTGATTTACATACAGTAATATCAGTTATTAATAACTGATATTACTAATAGTTATTAATTACTTAATAGTTATTAATAAATTAATATTAATATCCGAGTAAGAAGAGAGCTTACTCTGGGTTCATATTTTTTTATATAATATATGGTATATATTCAACATATATATTTGGCATATATATGGTGAAACGGCCTGCCAAAGTGACTCTTTTCATAGCTGAATCTGCCATTTGTGTTGTATTTACCAAGTCCTCATCAATATGAGACCAGCAACTGCTGTTTCAGCACTCTAATAGATTTCTTAATCACTAGTCTAATTATCATTCTTACTCGAGAGACACCAAAATGACATGAACGTTTGCTGTCATGAGATGTGCAAATTAAATCGGTTGGCTATGTACAGAAATGAAATTCACAAAGTTATGGAAAAATGCCTTGTTTTTAATGAAGGCAGTATCCAAATCTGGACAGAAAACAGCATACAAATGGGAAATGGTGGCATATACAATGGTAGAAAAATACAAAGGGATATGGACCCACAAAGTGAACTGACTAGTGGAACCATATCATTCTTGGGACTTTTGAAAAGGACAGTTGGCGTACTGCTACTTCAGGATGTTAAAGGACAAAATTGACATGATCGCCTTAGACTAGTCCATCAAAATTCTCGGAAACCATCCAATACCTGTTAAGAAGAATATACAGTGTTGTTCTTGTTGCAGCTCCTGATCAAATGTTTTCAACTGTGATAATAATAAGAATTGTTTCTTGAACACCAAATCAGCACAGAATTCAAAAATCGGGAATAAAGGCTGCTGAAAATTCAGCTTTGCCATTACAGGAATAAATTACCTTTTAAAACATTTTAAAATAGAAAACAATTATTTTAAATTGTAATAATATTCCTGTTTTTCTGTATGTTTTAGCAAATAAATGCAGCCGACCCCAAACAGTCAAAGCTTCGACCTTTAGACACATTGTCAGACAAACAGTATGCTGTATACTGTATATCAGTCCCTAAACAAAACAAGCTGTGCAGGGCTTCTCCTTGCGTTTCTGCATGAATTATTTCTGCCTTTGGTTCAGACCTCAGTGGTGATATTGGTGTTTCATGTCTCACAGGTGCTATTGTATCAAGAAAGAGTGAGACCGGTATTTCATCACCACAAGCATTGGAACTGGTCTACTGAGTACGAAATAATGAAAATAACAGTGGATTTTTCTCTTAAGCTCTGTGTTTGTTTATTTCGTCCACCAGGTTATCTTAGGCCTTCTTCTGCCCCCCTCCATATTGAGTCTTGAGTTTAAAAATAAGGACGAGATGTCGTATATGCCTCAGGATCAGGACACCTACCTGCAGGAGAAGGATGTGGATGAACCTGAGAAACAAGCTAAGGAGAAAGAGGAGGAGGACATGGAGTTCACAGTAAGATCTTACTGTGAGACGCAGTACAACTCCGTGGTGAGAGCATCCACCTTAGCCTCGTTTCTTAGCTTGTAGTCTTAACGCACACACACACACATTTAGGCACATCTGCTCTGCTCTGTGAAAGTCCTACCCCCAATTTGGCCTCTCAAATATGCTTCCGGCTTTATTTTGTTGTTGTTCCTCAAGTCCGTGGTTCCTCTTCTTAGCGATCCGTACCAACCCTGCCGTTTTTCTGACTTCCCCACCCTACACCCTTCTCCCACTTCGCCCTTTTTTTTCCGTTCCTCGTTGTCAAAGCGAAGACGCGTGGTTGTGGAGTTGTAGCGTGTCTCCGTCTGCCTCTGTCCTTGTCTGCTCTCTGTTTCTTTACTTTTAGCAAGGGTCTCGTCTGAAGTACGGTACTGTGACTGAATGCTGCCTGTGTTTTTATCATTCACGCATCTACGACACCATTGTGCATGTTGAAGGCTTGTTTTGCATTATGTTAGCAGCCTTGATCTGACATCTCCATGACGACAACCTTCACTTTTAAGTTGACCGAGAAGTGCCTTCTTTCTTTCACAATAAAACTGCACGGATACTGTTGTTCAATCTTCCATTGTGAACTATTAAGTGTTGCTCTAAAGCAGTGGCTCTTGAACTGTTTCAGGTGGCGGACCACTTAAACAGCCCCAGATATGGTGGAGAACAACAACTAATGTACAAATTAGCCTTTTTTTTTACTTAGGGTTAAGTTTGAACCTTTATCTTGAAATCGTCTCAATTTTACGGATCCATAATTTTGTTATTTTGTTGAAATTACCCATAGTGCTATGTTTAGCTAATCAGCCCAAATGAGCCGTGTTTGCTAACAAAGAAGTTAGACTGAACAATTACACTACTATATTACAAACTTTTTTTATGTTCACCAATGAACAGTAAAATTTATTTTATCAAGGTACAATCATAAACATTGTAAAATATTACAATTATTTGAAAAGGTTTCTTTTTTTAGATATTTTAAAATAAAAATGTGACCTGCAATTGCAAATCCCTGTTTTCAGCCATTACTCCGTTTACTAAAAAAAAACGTGTTAAATATTCATTAGGAGATTCTTCTGATGTGTAAATTTGGTAATGGAAAAACTTTTCTTATTAATAGTACAGTCTAAAATGATTGTGCTGCTTAATGAAGTGTTTAAATGGTAGTCTCTTTTTTTCAGTCGCTTAAGTATTGAGTACACTTGCATTTCTTGCATGTCACTGTACACTTTGAAGTCAAATTTCATTTTTAAAAATAGCCAAACTCAAAAATGTCTTTCTAGAAACACACCAGTCTGTTGTTCTTTTGAGAGATGAAGGCTGTTCTGTACACCGACTAAACAACACAGAGAGACGTGGATGGCCCAGATGAACAAGATGAGGAGTACATCAGTGTTATACCGGTGCAGTCTTATAAATATCTCATAAACTGATGACTAGAATGCATAAGCTGTCAGTGCTGCACAGGACAAACAGAGAGTTTGAATAATAAAGAAGTCATATTAAATTAGATTGGTCATTTGTGACATTTAAATATCAGTATTTATTTATCAATTTAATGCATCATAAGTGTCGATTTCTTTCAAAAACATTGAAATGTCTTGGGGTCAGTAACTTTTATTTCTAAGAAATTAATACTTTTATTTAGCAAGGAAGCATTAAATTGATCAAAAATGACAGCAAAGACATTTGTAATGTCATTAATAATAAGTTCAAAATAGTAGCATTTATTTCAAATAGAAATCTTTTATTAAAAAATAATTGTTTCCACAAAAATATCAAGCAGCACAACTGTTTTCGACATAAAATATTTGATGATAATAATAAGAAATGTTTCTTGAGCACCAGATCAGTATATTAGAATGATTTCTGAAGGATAATGTGGCACTGAAGGCTGGAGTAATGCCATCATAAGAATAAATTACATTTTACAATATATCGAAATAGAAAACCAATATTACTTTTACTTAGTTACTTTCACAAAATTACTTATTTTGTCTTTTATGATGAGCATAAAATACTTTTTTTATTCAAACATATTTAAAAATCTTATCAAACCTCTGAACAGTAGTTTAACATTATAAAAGAAAGACAACATCAACAACAACAAAAACTTTACAGATCAATTTTAACCGCCAGTTACAGTAATTCATTGTTTTGAGTTTATTAATAAGTCAATTAATTCAGTGTTGGTGCTTTCTGTCAATTACATTGTTATTTATTTAGTTTTAAATCAGCCAATCAACTCGTGGACCACTTGGAATACTCTACAGTTTGAGAACTACTGCTCTAAAGAAACAGGTCAGCCCAAGACACTAGTTTAGAAATGTAGTCCTGGAGTCAAAACAACTGAGAAGGACTACAGTTCCCAAAACGTGACTGGGTTGACCTGATCTTATACAACACGGTTCCAAAAACTGAAGCTTTACCCCTCACTTCACTGAATATACTGCAGATATGTGAGGTTACAACACAAGATGAGAATTGTATTGCAATTTATCTGAATGCTCTTTCGGAAAGTGTACTTTAATTGCAATAATTTTTCACTGATGCAACATTGAAACGCCTGTGTCAAAATGAGATCTTCCTGTGCATAACATAAGCTGTGAAATAAACTGTTTTCATTGCATTTAGATTGATAGTGTGTAGTCTGTAAGACTGTAACTCAACCAAATACCTTCGACAGCAGAAAAGTTGTTGCAATACAATTCTGCCATGATGTCCAAGAGTGCACCATATTTTTCCATTTACGGGATAAACTCCCCACTCTTGGATTAAGGATGTGTGCAAATAACCCATGACACTGGGCATTTTCATTCCTCTTTTCTTTCTTCCTCTCTCTCTCTGGCATACACTCTCTCTTTCTCTTTTTCCACACGACCATTCCCAGCAGAATCATCAATGCCCAGTTCATAGTGAATATCTCACCTTCCTCAGCGCTCAGTATTGCTTTGCAGTGTTTGAAACAGCTGCATGCAATTCTGGGTGAGAAGTCACACTATGTAAATGGTGTGTAAAAGTAATGTTTTCTATCTTTCTCCTCTTTCTATCCTCTGTACTTTTCCCAGGCTATGCTGGGAAACGTCAGTTCAGAAGCGTCGCGTAAGAAACAGGTGGAAGAGGTTCAGAACCGTCATCGGCTGATTCCAGTGGGTCGCAAAATTTACGAGTTTTACAACGCCCCTATCGTCAAGTTCTGGTTTCACACGGTAAAGCCCCAGCTGTGCCCTTATTTAGTATAAAAAGGCATACAGTATTGTTCAGTGTGTTTAGAATATCAAATCTATACGAACATCAAAATACCTTGTGTGTGAATTCTTCAGAGAAATGTCCTCTGAAAGCTTTCACTTGCAAAAAAATTCATATCAATAGATTCCATATCAAGTCCAGGGGGAAAAATGTTCAAATGCAGGCAAGTAGAGATCAAAACAGCTGAGATTTTTTTTTATTTAGCCTCATCTATGTTTTAAATATAGGCCATGAATCTGACAAATCTCCTGGCTCCTAAAGATGAAAAATTCTGCTCTGTGTGCTGTGTGTCTTCATTATTTACTCGCTCTTTTTTTCTCTCGTTGCTCGTTCCCTCTCGCTCCCATCACACTGTCACGTTGTAGTGTTTACACTGAACAGTATTTCTGTTCTCTGCTGGTGAGAGAGTGTCAATCTTTCTACCGTTTTCACCAAAAAAAAAAAAATGTTGCAAAAAAAAGAAAGAAAGAGCATTACCCTAAGACACCAGTGAGAACTAGATGAAAAATTCTGCTCTGTGTGCTGTGTGTCTTCATTATTTACTCGCTCTTTTTTTCTCTCGTTGCTCGTTCCCTCTCGCTCCCATCACACTGTCACGTTGTAGTGTTTACACTGAACAGTATTTCTGTTCTCTGCTGGTGAGAGAGTCAATCTTTCTACCGTTTTCACCAAAAAAAATAAATAAAATGTTGCAAAAAAAAAAAGAAAGAGCATTACCCTAAGACACCAGTGAGAACTCAAACATTTTGTTTACTGCAACATCTTCTGTAGCTACTGCTTCTTTCTCTGTGCAATAAAGTAGAAGAAGTATAAAGAAGATGCATTACAAGCATAAATGCTTCCTAATGTCCCTAAAATTTAAACGATGGATCCTTGAAAATATCAGCCTGATGGTGTTTTCATGACTGATTTTGAAAGACAACATGCATGTGTAAATTGGGAAAGAAAAAAAGTAATTTTATTAATATAAAATCAAATCAAATTCTAACTGGGAAACAAAAAATCAACTAAAAATAAATTTTCATGACTGAAACTAAAATAAAATAAAAATGACCAATAATTAATTTTATTTTTTGATACATGGGCAAACATTTTGTTTACTGCAACATCTTCTGTAGCTACTGCTTCTTTCTCTGTGCAATAAAGTAGAAGAAGTATAAAGAAGATGCATTACAAGCATAAATGCTTCCTAATGTCCCTAAAATTTAAACGATGGATCCTTGAAAATATCAGCCTGATGGTGTTTTCATGACTGATTTTGAAAGACAACATGCATGTGTAAATTGGGAAAGAAAAAAAGTAATTTTATTAATATAAAATCGAATCAAATTCTAACTGGGAAACACAAAAAATCAACTAAAAATACATTTTCATGACTGAAACTAAAATAAAATAAAAATGACCAATAATTAATTTTATTTTTTGATACATGGTGTATTATATAACTTAAAACCTTTACAACCTGCCTGCATTAAACATGAACATGTTACCAGATGGCAATATTGCTAGACTGTGTTAAGAAATTTAATGCTGTAAAACATTTATAAATAATACCAGTAAGCACATTAACTTTGGTAGCCCAAAAATATTAAAACTGGAAGATACTGAAACTAGAAACTGAAAAACTAAACAAAACCTAACAATGATAGAATGAAAACTAATACGATTTATTGAAAAATAAACTAAGATACAATACCATTCAAAGGTTTTGGGGTTGGCAAGATTTTTTAATGTTTTTGAAAGAAATGTCTTGCGCTAACAAAGGCTGCTTTTATTGGATCAAAAATACATTAAGAAACAGTAATATTGTGAAATATTTTTACAATTTTAAATCATTATTTTCTGTTTGAATATATTTTTAAAATGTGATTGCAAAGCTGAATCTGCAGCAGTTACTACTTCAGTCTTCAGTGTCACGTGATCCTTCAGAAATCATTTGAATATGCTGATTTACTGAAAAAAGTATTCATTTAAAAAATCTTACTGAACCCAAACTTTTCAACAGTAGAGTACATTGAAAATTAAATAGAAATAGTAATCGAATTTAAAGAATTTAAAATTCAGAAGTGTTATAACCTTGGTGTAAGTAAAACTTAATCACAGTCGGATTGATGATGTATTCTCACTGTTTCACTTCTTCACTGTGAGCTAAAATGGGCCAAAGTGTTTTTTCCCCCTAATCATGATGCTGTGTCTTCCCACAGTTGGCTTATGTAGGATACTTGATGCTCTTCAACTATATTGTTCTGGTGAAGATGGACCTGTGGCCCTCTCCTCAGGAGTGGATTGTTATTGCCTACATTTTCACCAATGGTATCGAGAAGATGAGAGAGGTGAGACTTCATTAGACCTCAGTGAGCAAAGAAAATAGTTTCCTTCGATCCCTGAAATGTGGGAAAATATTAATTATTATTATTATTCATAAGCAATGTCTAATAATTAAATTTATATATAACTACACAGCTGCTATTCAGTTAGAAACTCCAAAATGTGAACTGTATACAGTCTATTACTGCCCTCTTGTGGAAATCAGTAATTGCAAATACTTTTGCTTTGTGGAGTTATGTGCCTGGTTTACGTTGTTTTGAAAAGTTCATTTGCCCAATATATCCATCTTGAAATATCACCATTGTCAACTGCATTTTTAAATATGTTAAAATAGAAAACAGTGATTTTAAATTGTAAAAATATGTCAGAACATTATTGTTTTTACTCTGTTTTTGGTTAACCATTTTGAAAAGGTCATTTGTCCAACATGAAGGCTTTGACTTCTCCTGTCTCTCAGATCCTCATGTCAGAGCCGGGAAAGCTCCTGCAGAAGGTGAAAGTGTGGCTGCAGGAGTACTGGAACATCACTGACCTCATGGCCATCCTCATCTTCTCCATCGGGATGGTGCTTCGCCTGCAAGACCCTCCCCTGATGAGCTACGGGAGGGTCATTTACTGTGTCAATATCATCTATTGGTACATAAGACTGCTTGACATCTTTGGAGTGAACAAATACCTGGGTCCATACGTCATGATGATTGGCAAGATGGTGAGGGAGACTGATAGAGAGCTTTAATAATTGCAAAATGTTTTATGGTTAAAATGGTTTCTAATGGTCTTATTCCCTTCCTTTCTACCTTCTTCGCGTGAACATAGATGATTGACATGATGTATTTTGTGATCATCATGTTGGTGGTGCTGATGAGTTTCGGAGTGGCGCGGCAGGCTATCCTCAATCCCAATGAGGACCCGTCCTGGATGCTGGCACGCAACATCTTCTTCATGCCATACTGGATGATCTACGGAGAGGTGTTTGCTGACCAAATCGACCGTAAGGCTGGCTTATTACTAACATTTACCTTGGGTACAGGCATGGGCATTTTGGGTATACTCGAGTTCACACTCAAGCACAGCACCTCAGGCTTTACGTCTCATTACTGGTCAGCTTGTATGAATAAATGTGGAGAGCTGTTCTCTGATAGAACAAAGGTTCCCAAAGATATGATGAATATATATGATGAATGATAGTTGTGCTTGTGTGTTTTTTTTTAAATGGTCTCATATTCTGTAGATGGCTGCACTTATATTGTCATTACAGGATGATATGGATCAATGCTGCTGTTTCAAAATGGTCTTATGTGTTCACTGTAAGACTGCAGATGGAGAAGAATCAGCAACAGACTGAATGAGAAAAACACTCCTAACATACAATATTTAATTTTTTTAAATTATCAGTATATTTTGATGAGATATTTACTTTTTAGAATTTGTGATTTTATATCAAAGCATAATGATAGTAGAATTGAATCAGGTTGTATTATTCATGCCCAGGGCAGAAGATGAAACTGAGCTCTTAACTGAACTATATCTAACCCATATGCTCTTAACGTTTGATACACATTGCATTACACCAAATACACAAAATAATGTTCTTTTTAGCAACATCATATGACCCCTTTAATATCAAAGCTAATAATAATAAAAAAAGTTGAGACACAGTTGAGAATAATTATGTTAGAGCATTGGAGTAAGTTGGAGTATTTCCCTGGGATGTATAATGTACTTCTGATGTCATTTTTGATACTAACAGTTAAAAGTTTCAATAAGATGTTTTGATGTTTTTGAAAAAGTCTCTTATGCTCACTAAGGCTGCATTTACCTGGTCAAAAATGCAGTAAAAAAGTATTGTTGTGAAATATTATCAGAATTTAAAATAACTTTTTTATTTTACTATATTTTAAAATGTAATTTATTCATGTTATGTCAAAGCCGAATCTTCCAGCCATTACTCCAGTCTCCAGTCTTCAGTGTCACATAATCCTTCAGAGATCATTCTAATATGCTGCTTTGGTGAACAAGAAACATTTCTTTTTATTAACAATGTTGAAACCACTGATAATAATGCTTAATGCTTAATTAAGCAATATTATCAATGTTTTAACATTATATTAATATTAATGCTTAATATTTTGTGGAAACCATGATATATTTTTTCCCCACTATTCTTTGATGATACAGTAGCATTTATTTGAAATATAATTTTTTGACAATCACTTACTGCATCCTTGCTGAATAAATGCATTAATTGCTTTCAAAAATAGGTCAATCTTATTCACCCCAAACTTTTGAACAGTGAAATATTTAATTTATAGTTGAAAATTTTAAATATGATTTGAACCATGCATCGGACTGAATAAAAGAGAGTCAAATGACAGTCAGAAAGATACATACAAAGGGTGAGCCTATTTCAAAGTGGCAATTATGATCAGAATGAATGATTCTACCTACTTCTAGGTTATTATGAATAATAAAGATGTTTGACTTGTATATTACCCTGTAACCCATCAGGTTTCGAAGCAGTAATGTTATTTTATCTGGTCAGATTTCTGTCTGAAATAAATCGGTACACTCATAGTAATGCAGTGTATCAGTCACAAGGACTTGTGTATGAAGTGTATGCTGTAGAGTTTAAGCGTGTCTTTGTGTTTTCTCATTAAGTAGTGTGTTTGCTTGGTGTCTGCATACTGTCGATTGTTTGTTTGTGTGTGCTGAGAGATGGATGGCCCAAAGATAAGAGAGCTGAAATAACGCTTTCGTTCTTTGTTTCAGATGTGAATAGTAGGAAGCTACAGCACAAAGTGAATGACAAACTCTGGCTGGTCGAAAATTACATTCGCACTCAAGGAACTGGGCGTAACATTGGTCCATCGCATATAGGCAATTTCCAATATATAAATTCTGCTAGATTTATCTCAGTTACAGAACCATTATACTTTCACGGTCATATCATCACCTCATCTCCGCCCCCCTGGTGGTCATTGAGTGTGTGACACCCCTGCACGGCACTGCAAGGCTAATGGCCAGGTTTCCATGGTGGGGCAAATGTTCAAGGTGCTATGCCAGCTAAATTGTTTTTTAAAAACCCAATCATGGAAACTGGAAACTTGGATAACGCTAAAGTCACCATCATGAACCTCCCACAGCCAGCTAGCACTGACTGACGTTCCATTACTCTGGTGGTTCTTCAAAGTCAGTGTAATTTCCTTCTCATTTCACAATGTAAACTGAACTTACCGGTGGAAAACCTACTGGTTTGATATTACGTGTTCTGCATATCTAATAGAGCATGAGCATCCGTGCCCATTTGCGTGTCCTCAAATAAGCTCCAAATACTCAAAAGCCCATCTCATATGTCCACTGTACATCCTTTAACAACAAGATGCATTTGCCTCCTCTCATCAATATGAAAGTTTTTTCACGTGGTTCAGTTGTCAGAGTTTTTGGCAGAATAAATTTGGAATTAAAAAAAAATTAAATGAAAAATAATTGCGAATTTAAGATAACCCATGTTACTTCAGTTCTCTCACTTTGGGCTTCTGAGTGTGATTTTAAATATTGAAACTAGTAAATGTTCTCACAAATATGTAAATTAATATGAACCTGACTGACTTTCCTCTCTTTGAAAGCTACAGCAACTGAACCATCCCATTTGGAAAAAACGTATGATGTATTGTCAATACATTCTAACCTGCGCTACAAGCAACCATCAAAAAGACTGCTGTACATTCAATATCAATATATTTTAAACATTGCATATGTTTAAATATATTGGGGATGCAATTTGACATGTGGAATATATTTGAATTTCACAACTCGGTGCATATAGTCTTTCCATTCAGTTTTTATCCACAACCCACTTTTGACTGGTTCTTTGATTTTGGTGTTTTTGCGCATGTGTCAGAGAGGGAGTGAGAGATTGTCTATTTTCTAAAGTGACCGTAATTGCTAGTTGCTTGTTCATTTAAATTTCGGCAACACTCAGTTGTATGTTTATTTTAACAGCTCCATGTGGCCAGAACATCACCACAGAGGAAGGAGTCATCGTGCCTCTCCCACCCTGCAAAACCGGTGCTTGGATTGTTCCCGCCATCATGGCCTGCTACTTGCTGGTGGCCAACATCCTTCTGGTTAATTTGCTCATTGCTGTCTTTAAGTAAGTTGAATTAATATTTATATTTTATGTGGTTTTCTGGACAGACCTTTTAATGACAAAATATTACTTATTACTTACAAATACCAGCCTTTTGACTAATGGTGCAATGAAGTTTTTTCCAGTGCTTTGCAGATTTGTTTGCAATATGCATCAGGTAGTCAGCAAACAGACTGTGGGGGGTTAATGAGCGCACCTTTTCAAGCTGAGCTGACTAAAACAATGTTGTCTTTTATTCTCACAGTAACACATTCTTTGAAGTGAAGTCCATCTCCAACCAGGTGTGGAAGTTCCAGAGGTACCAGCTGATCATGACCTTCCATGAACGTCCTGTCCTTCCTCCTCCTCTCATCATTTTCAGCCACATAACTATGGTCCTCAAACACCTTTGCTGTCGCTGGAGGAAACATGATGAGGATGAGCGGGACTATGGGCTGAGTGAGTGATAAAATGCTGTTGCAATATACTGAAAGCCTCAAAATGACAGCAGGAGTCGTTTTGTTTTCTCAGATCATACAGCTAATGAGAGTGAAACCAACTCATGTCGACTTAAAGATTCTCTTTGATACCATCTTTTGCCAAACACGATTGTTTTGTAATAGTGAGACATTTCTGTTCGAAATCATTAACTTTTGTGCCTCTTATTGCTGTGCAAAAGTTACATACAGTATATGTTGCACAGCATGCATACTGCATATTAATAAGGTATGGAAACTAATATACTGGATTACAGTGTGCTAAAGTGTGCTTAAAAATTTTCAAATAAAAATAAAAGTTAAATTACACAGAAAACACTTGGACTTCACTGTTAAGCTATGAAAAAGTGACTGACAAAAAACTCTCCCCCCACAGAGCTCTTCATTACGGAAGATGAACTGAAGAAGGTACATGACTTTGAAGAGCAGTGCATGGAGGAGTATTTCAGAGAGAAAGATGACCGCTTCAATTCCTCCAATGATGAGAGGATACGTGTGACATCTGAAAGGTTACAACATTTCAGACAACACAACAGAACGTTAACACTTTAAACTGTATTTCAAACCAGAGGTCTTCAAGCATTTTATGGCAAGGACCCTCAAATATGATCACCCCCTTGCAAAGTATCCCCTTCCTAAAATATAAAGGCAGCTATATATATTTGTTATGCATACAGACCCATGTATGGTTTATGAGAAAAAATATTAAGAATATTAAGTTGTGTTCAGAATTATTTAATTGGCTTTTACATGGTCACTAAAGCCCAAGCCAATTAAAATTAGGATGACTTTTTATTCTAACCATCGGAGTAATTTTAGATAAACCTGACGCGAAACTTTTTAGTTCAGTTCAGATTTATTTGTAAAGTTTTTTTCACAAATATATGTCATTCCATGTGCATTAAATATATATAATAAATATTTAAGTGTGACATGTTAACTTTGAGAACCCTGAAAATTAATTTTGTAAACTCATTTTCTTTTCTCTCAAATTTTCGGCAAGCCCTTTAGCACCCTCTTGTGGCCCCCATTCAAATGTACATACATACAAATACTATTTAATTATAAATAAAAAATACAAATAAAATAAATTAATGTTCATCACTATTAATAAGCACTTAATTATGTACAATACTGTTCAAAAGTTTGGGGTTTGTAAGAGTTTTGTTTTTGAGCCTCTCGTGCTCACCAGGGCTACATTTACATTATTTGAACAAAAATACAGTAAAAACAGTAATATTGTGAAATTCTATTTCAATTGAATCAGTTAAATACATTCTAACTGAATAAAAGTATTCATTGTTTAAAAAATACTGATTCCAAACATTTGAACAGTAGTGTATTTAGTGTAACATAAAAAATAAAGTTAATAGTTGTAGATTTTCGTAAATGGCCTCAGGAATACTTATGAAATTGTCTAATCTCTGATCACTCAGGGTGGAGAACATGGCGATGCGTCTGGAGGAAGTGAACGAGAGGGAACATTTCATGAAAGCGTCCCTGCAGACTGTGGATATCCGGCTCGCCCAGATGGAGGAGATGATCGGCCGCATTGCTGTGGCACTGGAGCGAGTTGCTGGTATGGATCGAGGCGAAGTCAACAAAGCCCGGTCCAGGACATCATCTGACTGCACAGATACAAATTACATCCTGCGCCAGAGCAGTTTCAACAGCCAAGAAGGCAATTCCTACAGGCTACAAGAGTCTCTGGAGCAGGGTGGTGAGGAATCCATTTCCCCTACATCTCCGACCGCTCTGGCCCCACGTGTCCGCAGTCACTCCTTCTACGCAAGCCACTCCTAGAAGTCTTCCTTAAAGACAGATTGTTCAGCCTCCATCGGGCCAACAGCTCACAGTCTGTGTCCTCAGGAGCAGGTCCCAAAGAGTCCAAGCCCACACCTTTGAATACTTTATCTGTGCAGCAGCAGCTTCGCCCTTCTTCCTGCATAGACATCTATGTTTCTGCCTCAGAGGACGTCCCGCCCAATGAGAGCTTCTTGGAGCCGGTCCGGACAGTTCCATCTCTCGCTCGAGACTCATCTCTCCATTCTGAGATCATGGAGGTGGTGCTCTCAGGGGGGCGGGACTGCAGCAGAAGGGCAGGGGGCAGTGAAAGACAGTCGGATGGTACGGTCCTGTTTGAGGACAGCGCCGCCGCTGACCTATCGCTCTGCTCTGCCCACCTGCTGCCGGATACCTTGCCCCCTTGGGACCTGGACCCCTCGCCGCCACCATCGGCTGGCGTTCTCGAGCGGTCCAAGAGCAGCCGCTTCCTGTCTGCAGCAGGGCCTCTGTTTCTGGACGAGCCGCCATTAGTTAAGTCGCACAGCCTGATGTTCACGTCACGTGGTTACTATGGCGGCATGGGCGTGCAGGTGAAGGCAGCCGAATATACCAGCATAACAGATTGCATCGACACCCGTTGCGTCTCTACCCCTTACCCTGTCCCAGAGAGGTCTGATTCACCTGGAGGCTCTTTCACATTCGATAAGCCCCAGGACCTGGGCGTCTCACACCCTGAGAGAGATGCTGAGCTCAGTCATGCAGAATCTGATCCAGAGGAACCCGCAGAGGGGTCAGCAGACACAGGTAAGGGGGGTCAAAGCAGCAGTGGGGTAACAGGCGCAGACCTGGGCTTGGGCCTCGCGCTGGGCCCGTTTTGTTCGCCGATTTCTAGACTAGAGCGAGCAAACAGCTGCTCCTCTTCGGAGGAGTCCCACTCCAACATCTACTCCCGAAAGAGCTTCTCCATTAGTGAGAGAATGGACAAGGGTCGTGGAAGCTCAAGGAATCCTTTCCAGAAGGCCAGAGCCGGGGCAAGGCTGGAGGGTAAGACAGACTCGCTGTCCATGAGGAAACTGGCCAAACCCTCGGCGTTCCAAAGTTTTGACGGCAGACACAATTACACGTGATAATGGCATACCAGTAGTGATGCCACTGTACATCTAGTTCCTGTAGGATGGCTCTACCTCATTTAAAATCCAAGGGCCAGTCCGTTAATTAGTACTGTCTGAGTGAGTAATTAGCTGTACACTGGAATGTTTTATCATGGGTATCAACTTTTCTGTTATAACACTGCAATGCAAAGTGTTCTTTAGAATTCATAGACTCAGAAGATGACCACTGCCCTTAGGCTAACATTAGTTCCCAGCTGAGGTGAAAACCTTGAGATTAAGGGCCTGTTAACACTAAGATGAATGTTCAGTATGAAAAAAAATGTCATTTAAGTGAACGGCTGTTAATGCAGAATTTTATTTTAGGAGAGGTTTCCAATATCTTTTTCATTGCACAGCAAAAACAACAAAATAAAAAAAAATGGCCAACCAATAAGCTTTTTGGTCACATGCCCACAGCCACTGCTGTTACATAAACTACAACTTAAGGGGTGGTCACAATACACTTTTCATTCCACTGACTTCCATTCATACGCAAGCGAATGAAGACGCAAAAAAATTTGCTGCCTTCCCAAGTTCAAGTTTGGTTAACTGATATGCAACCAATAGAAGATCGGAACGTAATGGCATGACCTTGTAGCTGAATTAAAAGAACATACATTTTTAAGTGTTGAATTTAAGATTTTTAAAAGACACTTCAGAGTGTGACATCATATCAGGACAGTTGTAGTGTCTGAAGAAATGTTGTATGCTCAAAGTGAGACCTTGGCTTTAGTGACGCTCAGCAACAGACTATTTTGCAGATCCTTCCTCTGATATATATACTGTTGCTTTGGAACCACCTTTTGGCTCTGTACTCCTGTATTTGGTGTTGTTTGATAAACACCATAGCAAATTAAAGAGGTGGTTCACTGTTTTTTTTCTAGAAAACGAAGCGTTTGAGAGAGGCGGGGCATAGAGGACCTACAATAATGTACAGTATTTGAAAAATAATGTGTTTTTTGAACATTAAAGCATGTCAACATATTCTGTTACACCAAATACACAAAATAATGATCTTTAAAAAAGCATCATATGACCCCTTTAAGACTAGTGTTTCTTTTATTACACTTTATGTATTTGGATCTGTAGATTTCTATTACAATACATATTTTTAAAGGCAGTTTCCTCAAAATTAGCATTTTCTCCTGCACTAAGCCATAAATCTCTACTTCATTAGCACTAACACACACCAAACTTTACAGCTTTATCTATATTATGAAGGTTTCTAAAGATTTCTATTCCTAACAAGGTAAAAGTAAAAAGGTATTTTTTTTCCTAGCTGTTGACAGTATTTCCTGAATTATGGAGCAATAAAAAGAGATATCCAAATTCTAATATTAAATTAAACATTTATTATTTAAACATAACATTTCAGAAAACTTTTAATAAAAATTAATTGTTTTAATCTACAGTGATTTTTCACATAATTTACCTTTATTCCACACCGCTCTGTCCCTTCTCTCAGAAACACCCTGATCATTTCCTTCTTTTATGAAGCCCCTTCCGCAGAAATAGGCGATGGGCTCTGATTGGTTAGCTAGCCCAGTGTGTTGTGATTGGCTAAACTGCCTCTAGTGCGCGTCTAAATGTCCCACCCCTCACCTCAGCGGCATGTGCTCCGGTTGTATTGTAAACAATGGCGTCGTTAATATCGCTTAGCAGTTTGCGCCCGATTGAGAAGCATAGGATATTATTGATGAGGATCATGCAGAACCTGTGCAAGCAAACTGCCAGAATTTTAAAAGAAGATATCTCCGTTTGCATTGAACTTTCAGCTTCGTAACTTTGCAGATATTGTTTATGCTCAAACAGCAACATTACACACTAACTAACGTTAAAAAAGTGAAATCGCAATGAACCACCCCTTTAAAAAACTTTTTGAGTGGCTGTTGGAAAACATGTAAATATAGATACGAAAGATTTGACTCTGTGTGACAGGTGAGCTTCAGAAATGAGAAGTATTCATTAAAAAAGCATTTTATGTACCAGGGTAACTTTTCTCCTTGTTTATAAGCGCCACCTACTGTCAGGGAGTGATTTTGTATTTTCATTCAGCCTGCCTGCCATTTTTTGCATAGGTCTGACTTGGAACTGAATATTTGTGCTGAACATTTGTGTTGGTGTGAACAGGCCTTAACACAACCTTGCAATGCAACTTACTGTTTTACCTTAGATGAGTCACCCTCGACACAGCATGAATCATGCACTCTCTTCATAGACTGTGTATCTCTACAGGCCAGATAGAGTGATGGTTTAATTCCAAAACAATTGAAACGTAAATGAAAACAGGTCTTTTGACAGTTCCAAAAATGTAATGCTCAAGTTTGTTGTGTATACAAAGATTTGTTCTGTCAACCCACACACTAGATTAGTTGAACATACACATATCTTCCCTAAGATGTTGAATGTGGCGTATAAATGGTTTTATGATGACAAGATTAACCCTTTGGAGCCTTGAAATACTTCTCGGCCCATGTGGGTGTATACATCTGCATTCAAAAAGCTTCATAATCATTCAGCAGACAGTAACGGTATATGAGGTGTCTGAATACAGCATAAGTTTGTGCACAATTTCCACTCTCACTATTAAACAGATAAGAGATTTTAAAGTGTTAAATGATCATGTTTTGTCTTTTGTAGTTTGTTTTGATCAAAATATATCACAGCAGGGCACCCATTTGAGTATATCTAAAAAAAAAAGCATGTTTGGTATGGAATGCTAGTTTACTGCTAACTGCGCTGTATAAACTATACTGCATACTATTTAATAATAGTATGTGGAAGAAGTAAACAGTATATGATGATAAATGTTTCAAACAGTAGTATGCTGCATTGTTGTCACAAAACATGTCTATATTGCAAGTTCAATTTGGAAATACCTATTTAACTCAATTTTATGTCAAAATGTTAAACTCCAATTGAACAGTCAAACACATTAAATTGTCGCCTACAGTATTATGCAGTGTGTTCAGGTTGTATCCTGCAGGTAGCAGGTCATTTAAGTATTCCCATTCATACAAAAAAGTGCTGCAGTGGCAAAATATATAGTAGTGTGATCGTATGCCATTCCAAACATACTTTTCAGACTGTTGCAAATGCATAGAGAAGCTTTCAAAACTGGATTTAAAAGCAAAAAGCCTGGTTGTCTTCATATAAGTGTATGTTGTTTTACACAGAACAGGTAATACATGTTGACTTGCTATGCAAGACGCCACAGAGAGTCGGTCGATTAGTAAGAAGTGTTATGCACTTTAAAGCAGGAGTTCATTATGCACACCAGTCTCATCACTAATCAACCTGATAGTGCAGTGTTTCATTTGGAAAGATATTAAAAGCACATCAGCGCAGTTGAGACAGGGACCCCTTCAATGTTAAATATGTCTTTCTCTGTTAATATGTTAACATTATGGAAGGACATAATAAACACTAGTACATAATATTCTCTTCTATTTTCAGCGAGTTATATGCCTTGGCAATTTTCTTCCTCTTTTATGGTTAATCAAGATATATATTTATGTTTGGTTTATTGTTTATAATGAAAAAAAATTTATCATAGTGCGCATTTAAAAGGACAAGGAGATCTGACTTGTCCGTTTTTAAAAATGGCATATAAATCAATCAATCAGTTTAATTAAAGTAGAACAATTACTACTCGACAATACACTGTTTTAAATTGCTGTTTAACTTAAATCAAATGAAACAGTGCAGATTAAAGCAATACACAAATGTGCTTTGTATCTCTGGCATAAATCCAGTGTACTATTCAATGTAGTCACTTTTTAGTAAATGAATTACTCCAGCCATTCCGTTTGCACCACATGTATCACTCATAGGATGTATTTTATTTGCCTTACCGATGTGCAACACTGCTAAGAGATTCGAAAACATTTATTACAGTCACGGTGTTCTGAGATGTAGAAATGTACACTTGGTGTTAGAGCTTGTACTGTATGTGAACCAAAAGCGAAATACTAAAAGACATTATTTTATTTTTTGTGCATAGCAGTAATTTTAATCACTGTGGTTTTCAAATATCCAATGATCTTAATATCAATATTAGTACGACATTCACTATGTTAATCAGATTTGCTTCATTTTGTATGATTTCAAGCTTGATTTTCTACTTGGGCCTGCTGTCCTTCACAGAGAAGGAGCTAATACTTCTACAAGGTGATTATACTGCAATGAGCCTTAAATTGGAGGTGAAATGAACACGTGAACAATACATGGGCCCTTAAAACATGCTGTATTATTTTGGATAATGTCTTTTAACAAACCCTCTTGTTGGACTGGTTCCAGCAAAAGATGGAGAGGTCATTTGATTTTCTAAGTTACTGAATGCAAGTTTATCTCACTATCCTCTGTTTTGCTCTCTTGTTAAGAGTTTTTGTTTGGGATAGAAGAGCAAGCATATTTATGAGACTTGTTTTTCCACATGTAAATATTCTGTATATGATCTGTAAATCTTTCTGTGGATGTAAAAAAACGAGTTTAATATAATGATAGGATTTTACGAGAACGTTTCTGTGTGTCTGATAGAAGACATTACACTATGACAACCTACCCAGTGTGCCAAAATGATATGACGACTTATAACTTCATGTACAGTATTTTCTTAATATTTTCCTATACTGTAGCATAAAAGGTTGTGAATTGTATACCACTTTAGTCAAGTTTCCCCCTCCACTTCTTTTTAAACTTATTGGTGAGCACTTGTCTGCTAACAAGTCCAAGCACATGTTTTCTGCAATAATGCTGTAGTTTGAACGGAAAGATCTTAGTTTACTTAGTGTCTTTAAAATGCATGTTGTTCTTCCAAAAGATAAGAGATGAGAGAACAGAGAGCGGGATCCGAGGACTCTTGTCCTATAGTAGAAGGCTAAGTATTTGGATGCAAATACAAATGTGTATACTGTATTCCTCAATGTGAATAAGACGTTTGGCATGTATTAACAAATAAAAGAATATATATATATATAATTCAAAACATCATTGTGGTTCATTTTTATTATTGTTTACTTTAGTTCCAGTGTAATTATGAAGAGCTTGTCACATTATTTCCAGAGAATGGCACCTGGTTTATTATGTTGAAAAATAGAAGCATGTGTAAAGTTTCACAGCTCCCAATTGTCTACTTCGGCCTTCGTCGAGTTCAACAGGCTTTGGTGAGTGTGGTCATTTTAGATGGTTTCCCTCATTTACATTACAAAACCATTTACAATATAAATTTGGAACTTGATTTTGTATATGGTGGTGTTGACCCATATTGAGTGATAGCGTGGAGAGACGCATTTTTGGATAAAATAGAAACAAGAGGTTGCACCCAAACACAGGCGAACACGTTGAACAAATGATTCCAAAATAATTATTTGATTTTTATTTACTTGGCCTATTTAGTCCCACGTCTCGAGAATTACCTGTCTACAGAGCGTATGCCTCTTGCATCTTTACTAGTAGCTTTGGTACTGTGTAT